CGGAGCGAAGCGGGGATTGAGCGGGGGGGGTGTAGAAGGGGGTGCAGAGCGGGACCGCGCCGTCTGGGAGAGAACCGGCTATCCGCTTCCGTTCCTCCACATCCTCTCCCCCGGCCGCTGCGCTAATGAGCTCGCGTCCTTTGTTCGCATTGAACCTTTCTGCGCTAGCCGCAGCTGAAGAGAAAGTCACTCGCAGATCTGCAGGCGAGATTCCCTTTTGACATCTGCTTCTGTGGGACACAGCGAATAATATGACGGCCTACGATGATGAGGGAGACAGACTTCATCTGCTTTTTGTCCGATTTATTAACCCTGAGTAGTCGCACAATACTCTGAGACATCAGTAGTCGCAGCAGTCTGAATCGGTACGTAAAGGAAATACAAACTTTTTCCAGGCAAGTGAGCCTAAATAGAAAACGACATGCGTAGAAAAGATACAACAATGTTAAATATACTTTGATTAAAAGTTAATAAATGTAAGCCCAATTTTATAATAGGAACGTAAAAAGAAGTTTTTCAAAGTTTTTGTATCAGATTAGAGAATTTCTTGACAAACATTTTTTAACAAATAAAACAATATTATAAATTAGACACAAAATGTACATCACATTAACAATTCAATCACTCTGCTTACCGTTATCTTCGTCATCTAAACATTGAGCAAACGACGCAGTCAGTAGTCTCTCCAGACTGTGTTAACAATCCCAGATAACATTAAAATTGCTCTAACGAGGCCGAAACGAAAGATGGATTTAAGAAGCTGCAATCACGTTATTCTTAAGATCAAAGGTATTAAGGAGATTAAAAAGTACAAGCGCGATATCCGCAGGGTTTTGTTTGAAAGTTTCGCTTCCGATTGCATTTCTTCAACACTCGGTTTTCCTCAGCAAGTGGCGTTTTCAACTGATCGAGTATTATTTATTTGGAATTTACGACAACTTTCATTTTTCGTAGTTTTTTTCTTCTTTCTTTCTTATTTTCGTCATTCAATACCATTCATGTTTCGAGTTACTTTTTTCTCTTTTTTAGCATGGCCACTATTTAATCATTAGGCACAAACAAATATATTGAAAATAACTATATCCTCTGGCATATATTGTATTTCCTTTTTATTTTTAAACGGGAAAGAATCGTAAATTAAAATAAATAAAATTTATGTGATTGGGAGTAAAAGAACAAATCACAATATGGGAGCCTTCTCATATAAACTTCAATGAAAGTAAATTATTATTATTTCATTACATTTACGTAACCTCAAAATAACACTACTTTTTCCTTCCTTCTACTTTAGATACATTAATTAGTTTCAAAAGGGGATGAATATTGATCTCTTTGCTCTCAAATGCGCTGATTGTAAGCATTTGGTAAATCAGCATACGATCCAATTATTGCGTTTCATTCTACTGAAACATGGTGCATCCAATACCATTAATATTAATCCGTTGGCCAATAGAGCCAGAAATTGGGCAGATGGGTATCTTGTGAAGTGGGTGCGGCCAGGATACCACTCGCAGGATGAAGCCCGGCCACGCACCTGCATTCCACATCCTCACCCACGCGATGCGATTGATCAGCTCCCGCAAGCCCAAAGGCCGTTGGCGAATCAATGCCGTCCCCACTGCTCCCCCACTCCTGCGGGCTTTCACAGCAGAACTGCCAGTTTCCAATATACAATATAAATTTCCAATATTGTACTCTCCGGTGCGTTTTCACTACTTTGGGGCACTGACTTGCTTATTTTCTCATGTATTTCTACGAACGCATTGTATACTTTCAGAGTAAATTGTTTGACTAATGAAAAAGTGCCGGGGTTCTTATCGTGAATTGCAGTGACAGGAACATTCGATAATTTCTTGCTAATAGAGAGTTTGGAATGACTAAAGTTTGAATGAATAATTTACAATTGGCCACTCAAATTCGTTTGAAGGAGAGAAATTGTCTAAGGACCGACTTTCTCCTGAGGCGAATCTGATAACTTCTACAAAAAAAGTCATCTGTCAGATGCAAATCCACCGAGAAGTCAAAAATCGATCAGACCTTGAATTTCACGGAGGTAAGTTACTGACCTCTGTAAATGTATAAAACTGTTGAACACAAAGAATTTGCGATTTATTTAAGGTAGCATCAACAGCTAGGTCATTAGCGACATACATTTGATTAACAAGAGTAGCTGTTTCCTTAAAATATTCGTGTATTCCCCGCTTTAAAATATCAAAACGTGTTGCAGATGTAGTAGATTAATCATGAATGTATAATATTTATGAGTCCATCACCGAATTCTTGAAGCATGCCTATAAACATTACAGAAAAGAATTTGCAAAAAATGCTTGGAAAGGTTCAGAAAATATGTGGACTCGGACCAGCCAAGTCGAGCGTTGCGCCCCGCGTGTTGAACGAGGCGGTCCGTGCGCAGGAGGGGCGACTGGCGGGGCTGGCGAAGGAGGTGGAGGGCACGACGCTGGGCACGCTCATCGACTTCCTCAACAAGGAGCTGGTGCGGCTGCAGGACGAGCGCATGGCGCACGCCTACGCCATGCTAGCCGAGCGCGCGCGACAGGACCGCGAGGCGGCCGAGGCCGGGCGGCGCCAGGCCGAGGAGCGGCGGCGGCGCGAGCACGACGAGATGTTCCGGCAGGTGCGCCCCG